CCCTCCCCCCGCCTCGCCTCTCGTTCCCCCGCGCCGTTTCGCGGGCCTCGGGCGCCGCGGCCTGTCGTGGGGCCTAGAGCGCAGACGCGGGCCGCCGTGCAGCCGCCGCCCCGGTCCCCATTGTTGGCGGCGTTTCCCGCCGCGCTAGGCCGAGCTGGTGTGGCCGCGTGTGCGCTGCGGGGAGGACGGGCCGCCGCCGCGCCCGATCCCTTGCCGCTGGCGCCGAGGAGGAATCCCTGCGGGGCGCGCGCCGGCCGCCGCCTCCCGAGCCCGCCGCTCGGGCTCCTTTTGCTCCTGTCGCTCCATTTTGTCGCCCTCATCGCGCACGGACGCTTCATGAAAGGCCGCATTCACGGCCCTTTGTATCCCGCGCGCCCAGTTTCCTGGGAGCTTCTGCTGGCGTTTTGCGACAGGTTTCGCCGTGGCTTTCCACCTCCTCTTCCTCACTTGGTGCTTTTCCGAAGGCGGGTTAGGTGCGGGCACGTTTGCAACAAGTCGTTTGACTTTTAGACCCACAGATGGTCTTTAAAAGTCTGTGCTCTGGTCGTTGGTGGAGGCGGGGGCAGTCTTGGCCTTTGTGATCAAAATACCTGTGAAGGTGGCTGAGGCGAAAAGAATTGGAAGCGCATCCGTGGAACAAAAAGACGCTAGCTCACCAAGAGATTAGAGGTAGCGGAATGATTCAAAAGTAAAGGCTGTTTACACGAGTTTCTTAGGTGATATGTAAAAAAACAAAGGCTTGTGGATGTGATCATAACCTGTTCGAAAAGAAAATGTTCCATAATCCTTAGCAGCGGATGCTTTACATTTTGAGAGATGTGAGAATGCGGGGTTTTTCCGGTATCTTCGCCGGCCCGGCTGCCTGGAGGACCGATGCCTGGGGATGGGCATCATTGCAAAAGGATCTAGTTTGTTCCCAGTGACGTTTAAGCGCCAAGCTTAAAGATGATGTTCGCCTCTTTCCTGCTTTTCATGTTATAATATATTTTTACAACAAAACAACTTGTGTCTAGCTAAATGGAGTGCACCTAAAAACGTTATTCTAAGATTTACTTATTTTATTTTCCAGGTTCATAGGAAAAAAATAATTAAATTCTGCATAGTGTGGTTTCCCCCTCCTCGGTTGAGGGCCTTATTTGTGATTAAGGGCCCAAGATATTTAAAAACATGGATATCACAAAAAGCATTACAGTACTGTTTATCAAAAACGACTTTGTGCTTCTGGTTTAAATATTAAAAAGAAAAATAATGTCCCAATTGTTTCTTACACCTTTGAAACAGAGTATGTTTAAATGGAATTCATTGCCGTCAAACATAAAGTAATTTTTTTATTCTGCCTTTAGTTTGGATATAAATAATCCCTAAGCATTGCAAATTAGAAATTGATTACAATTGCAAGTTGCACTTTTCCCTAGAATGCCACAGTTAGATTTAAATGCTTTTAATTAAGGTTAGTATACAGAGACCTCTTGGAAGGGTTTTTTTAATATATATTTAAATGAGTATAACATTCATCCGAAAGAGGGCTGTACCTGCAAGTCAAGAATCAGTTGAGTAATACAGGATTGTCTTGTAAGGATTCTTACAAGAGAGTACACTACTTGTCTTTTCTGCCCCACAATTAAGGGAGAACTGTAGCATAATTAGAAGTTAAAGCTTTCATCAGTCCTTCTTTAGGGACACAGATAGATAACTTCTTAGAGTGACAGTTGGTTTTGTTTTGTTTTTTTTGTTTTTTAATTTTCTAATGATTTTTATTTCTTTTTGTGTGTACCATCAAATAAGATCTGACTAGTACAGGAGGAAATTGTGCCTCCTTCTCCAGTGGAGAATCTGGTAGATTTGAACCCCACACCTTTGGAATTGCAGCACATCTTGCCACTAGGCCACCAGAGCTCCCTGGGACAGTACTTTAGTGTGTTTTTTGTTGGTTTTTGTTTGTTTGTTTTAAATCTCTATTATAAAGTGCTGACTGGGAGCTAAACAAAGATTAAACATTTGTGGATCTGATACTTTATAGGGTTCTTTTAAAAATAATTTTTCATTGACTTGGGTTTGTAGCAGTGTCACAGATAGTTGTATAACTTACCAGTAACATTTTTGTACCTTTTAATAGATAAAGGGTGTGCAAATGTACTAAGTATACTCTTTGGGTTTTTTCCCCCTTTTGCTTATCACTGACTTCTCATCTGTTGCTTGCTGTAGAAATTCCTTTCAGTGTTTTTTTATTTTTAAGATAATGTCTTGGTTTTTTGAAATGTTGTTATTACTGAAATGTTTTTCTATAATTTTATCAGTTAAAAAAACTGCAAAATTATTGCTGACTGATTTAATTTGTATTGTAATCATCAATACGATTGTATTTGGCATCGTATTTATACCAGTTGCTTCAGAACAATAAGACTTTATTACAGTTGAAAAATTACCTTAATAGTTATTAGCCAGTCTTCATTTATTTTTGGCTTTTAAAGTACTTTAAAAATTTTTTTGAATCTTTGTTCTACAATGTGGACTGAATTTAACTGTGTTAATGTATCTTGAAATTCTCTGTTATCTGTTTGAACTATAAAAGTATGGCCAGTACTTTCAAGAAGCTTTTCGAGGAGGGTATTTTGGTGTAATGCACAGTATTAACCCACTTCAGAAAGTGAATCATTCATTTGTCTTGGAAGAAACAATTTTGGGGGAATAAGATGAGGCAAACTGTAGTAGAATACCTCTTGTCATGAAATAAATTTAAGAATGAAGAATATTGAAGGCTGAGAGGAGACGAGACCATGGTGTTCTTTATGGTGCTCTTTAGTGCTTAAGCTGAAGGTCTTTGGATGTTACCAGATTGAGATTGAAAACAGTTATCATAGTGGAAAAAGAATTTGAATTACTTCTAAACGCCTACATTGCTTGGATTTGGAGTGAAGAAAAGTGCTTCCGTGTTGGCCTCTGGTGCATTAGATCAGTTTGGAGTGAGATTTGTACAATATTTAGTAATTAAAGACTTTATAAAGGTTTTGATCAAAACTAAAAAATAACTGGTTTTTAAAAAACCCAAGTTCATAAATATTCCTTTTGAGTATCTGTTGTATGCCATCAACAGCTGATACTAAGATTTAGTTTCTATCCTCAGAGTGCATTTCAGTGAGATTAAAGACATCTACATTAATGAAACACTCCAATAGAAGCTGTAATCTAGATGACACTTCTTTGTGTATGTCTGTATCTGTAGAACTTTTGTTGTGAGCAAGAGAGGAAACTTGAGAAAAATTTTATGAATTCCAGAAAAACACATATTCTGTATGTTGGAATTGTTTGTTTTGTTAATACAGTGTCTAATTGGCCTTATAGTTCAACCATGCAGTTTTAAAATACAGATGTGCATTCAGGTAATGACTTAGACATAAGAGTAAGTCATTCAGCCTTTATTTTGTCAGTTGTTACCTCGTTTTATCATAGCAAGTGTTATGACTCAAGTTTTTAGTCAGTCACAGAAAATTCATTTTCTTGAACAAATATTAAAAGCTTGTTTCTGTAAAACTGTAATAAAGCTGTAAAAAAGAAAATGGAATAGAGATTGATTCAGAAACATGAATATAAATGTTTAGGTGCTTGAAGTCTTCTCATTTTTATCATTGATGAATGTAGGTAATTGAGCTGCCTTTGAATTGTCCAGTTTGTGGTATATCTGGCATATTTTTATGTACCAGCTTGGCATCCTTACTGTTACTTGACCTATTTACAAATTAATAATCCATTCAGAATCTAGTACAGATAACATATTCAAAACATAATTAGACAAAATTGAGGAATTAATTATTTTCTAAAAGAATAGCTTGTTCTCTGCCACTGGATTTTTTGTATGTTATTGTTGTTCTTCCTTGGTATAAAGTACAGTATATATAAACAACATGTGGCTTCCCCTTTGCTTGTCTTTTCCTAAATGAAATGATTGCCTTTTTATGTCTTTAAATAACATTTTGAAACAAGTAGTCTTTGCTGTGCCATTAATTGTAGCATTATATAATGTAGGAAAGATATTTTTTTATTAATTTTCATAAACATTTAATGTAGGAAAGATATTAGCCATCGTTTTAGGACCCAGAAAGGTAGTGTTGGACCTGTCAGAGAATTAAGAAAAAACTGAACTTGGACACCTGTTCAGTTCCATAGTTATTGTCCTAGTAATGGTATACAGACAGTGTTATCTGTGATAATAAAATTTCATAGGTAGTGTTTGAGAGGGAGCTCTGGTTGCCTATTGGCAAGCAGTTGCATTGATGGCCCAATGGAAGGCAGTTCGAATATATAGAATAAAGGTGGGCAACTGCTTCTGTGTCATTTACATGGGAAACCTTCTGAAAATTCTGTGGGAGGGTCAGCTATGAGTAGATTCTGACTCTGCGACACATGGCAACAACAGTGTTCAGAGAGGTAATGTCTAAAACTACTGTATTTGAAGGGAGGCATGGGGATGAGGAGGATTGTTTCTTTGTAGTGGGGCCGATTGCAAAATATTATTGCCTTGTGGGAATGATAGAATTTTCAGTGCTTTATCTTTGCTTTGACAATGACTAGAGTTGACAGAAGAAGTGATTCCTTTGAATTTTTTTGCTGGAGAATAATGTTCAGTATACTATGGACAAAGCAGGTTTACCCAGCAGAAGGTGAAACCAGGCTATTCCTTGGCGTCAAGGATTTGAAGCTCAGTTTTACACACTGGAATGTGGCCAGGAGGGACCAGTTCCTGTAGGGATATCGTGCTTTGGAGGGTGGAGAGGACAGCAGGAGTAGAAGACCTCAGATGAGAAGGATTGACACAATTACAGTGACTAGTTGGAGACAGTGAGACTGGCTCAGGATAGGACAAGGTTCAGAGCTATTGTACATAGGGTGGTTATGAGTTGCAGGTGACTCAGTGGCACATAACAACAACATGTATGTAGAGCATCACTGTAAAATCTCAAGACCTTACCTTGCCTTTAGAATGATTGTAGTGATTGCTGTGGAGTTGAGTAAGACCCCTAGCAATGCTTTGAGCAACAGATCTGAATCCTGCCCTTTCCTGTCATCCTCAGATCTTTGACATACTCAAGCCCAGGTAGCAATAATTCCTTAATGCTTAATTCCTTAATGAAAGAACTTTTAGAAGCTTTTGTTTACTAGAGGTTGTGTGTAATCTCTTGGTGCTTAGCTACTATGAAGGAAAAGTAAATTCAGTCATTAAGGCTGAGCAGCATTCCATATCATAATTAGAAGAGTAATGATTTTTTTAAAAAGTATTTAACTTCATTAACGTATTCTTGAAGATAATTGAAAAGACCTCTGCCAATAACTTGACACTGTTGACGTTTTTTCTTTGACAGAGTGTGGGAACTTTGTTTCATAAAGTTTCTGAGCTCATTTGCTTTATATATGATTAGTGGTACACATTTTGCAGAAGTTCTAGAAGTTTCTCACTTTAAGAGTGGGAACAGAAAGTGGATGTGTTCTGGTCTTTTTGTGTCTTAATGCAAAGAATTGTGTTGGAGGCTGATGCTAAATAGGAAATTATTGGTACTACAAAAGAATATTTCTGTTGAGTTGAAATTTTGGTAATTGTGCCAAATGTGTGCAGATTGGTTAATGGTTTTTTTTTTTGCCAAGTCCAAATGCGTACTTTTGGGGCTAGGCGTACAGGCTGTGGTCTTGGAACAGAGTGAAGCTAACTAGTCCACATGGAGATCAGACCCCAGAATCATGGTGTCAGTTAGCATCATACTTCAACCAATTGGAAGCAATCCAACTACCAGAGAAAATGGCTAATCCTAATGGTAGAATCATATCAATATGGATAATTGGTTGGTGTCAACATAGGAATTCATGGATGGACAAAAATAGTAAGTGATTGTAATGAACCAGGTTGGTGTAGCTGGTATTATGTTTGTAAATTACTGCCTGTTTATGTAAACAGTATCCTAGATTTACAACTAAAGAAAACTCAGTGGTTAATCTTTTTTTTTTTGTAAGTGAAAGTGTAAATTTAAACACTTTAAGTCCTGCTGCTAATAAATAACCCTTGTATTCTTTTTTGCTCTCCCTCAGACCATATATTGTCATTATAGTCTCTGCTGAGGAGGATGGAAAACCCTTTAAATAATAATAATAATTCTACTTGATATTCAGAACTGGATTGCAAGAGAGTTTATAAAGTGTCCACTGCTCCTTGTGGGGAGCTCTTTAGTTGCTTAACTATATGGACCCACCGGGCTGCGGCCACATTGCCTGAAGCTTCATCTACACTGAAACTTCATAACAAAACTCACTCTTCTTTTTTTCTGGTTTTTATTGTCTCTGCAATTTGACCATGCTATTTAGTTTAAGAAAAACCCAGTTTTAAATAATATTCTGGTATTGCAAAATTACAATATTGTTCAAGGACTTTTGGTCTTAGTTTCTCTCTGTCCATAGCTAAAAACTACTTTTCTCTGATTTACCTTGACATCTTGGATCCTTTTGTTAAATAAGGCATATTCTGTTTCACAATAAAGTTGGTATCTAAAGAGTTTATTATATAATAAATTTGACAACTCAATTAAGCAGACTGTTACCTGGAGATAACTACCAAATTTCATCCCCTTTGATTATGTACTGTTGATGTTTCCTTTCTGTCCTTATTTTAAAACTATTATACTGGCTTTTGAATAATAAAACCATGGGCATGTTCTCTTGGGGCTTAGAAAACAAAATTTTGTTGGTCTGTATATAGTCATGAAAGTGCTTCCTCTGGATCATCTGTCCCTGTAATAGTTACTCCTTAAAGTGTTGGCTCCTTCTCCTGTGCTATCATGTAACAATTCTTCCTTAGTAAATTACAGCTAGAGGAGAGGATGAGAGAAAGCTTGGTCTGAACTCTTCTAAGTTTGATATTGCTTTGTAATTGTCTCCTTAAAAAAACTCAAATATTCTACCTCTTAAGAATAAAACAGGTACTTACTAAAAGGCTAATTCAAACTACTGAGTGGTAGAAAGGTAGTGTGAAGGAAGGTGGGAGAAAAATGGAACTTCTGCTATGTGACTAATCAAAGGCAAATTTAAATTACATTATTCTGTCATTACCTACATTTTGGTTTTGTTTTGGGGTTTTTTACAAATTGAACTCTTCATTTTTAATTTTTTTTTTTTTTTTTGCATGCTAGTTTTCCACCTTTTTTTTGCTTTTCATTTAGACATTTAAGTGGCAGTCTACTAGCATTGCCTTAATTCTGGTGATAGCAGCACACTTGACTAGGTAGTCGTCCCACTTTTACTGATTTACTTGACTAGATATATAAGTGAGATAAGCATTAACTCAGTCTGGGAATAATAAAACTATTTAGTAAGATAAGAATTTGGACAGTTTTACCTGCATGCCATTTCTTCTCATTCCCATAGTTACTTGTGGCATTTTTAATTCTTTAGTCACATTTACTTATTCCTGTTGCTCGATTTACTGTGATTTTTGTTGGTTTCTGAAACAGCTTTTGTGGGATTTGGAAAAATATGAATAGCATAGAAAACATTAGATTTCTTTTTCTGCTGTCTAATAGTTTAAAAATAATTCCATTTTTCTTTGATCAACTATGCCTGTAATTTTTGTTATATACAATATTTGTAAAAAACTTATTAGTTTGCATATATACATGTATATAAACTTAAGATGAGCCTTGTTTCCTATGTTTTACTAAAAATCAATGGGGAAATTACTGTATTGAAATTTACTTCATAAGCATCAGAGATTTCTACTGTGATTTTTGGGTTTATCAGATTTTTGTTTCTGGTTTGTTTTGTTTTTGTGTTTTTTTTTTTTGCTTTTTGAAAGTTTAAAAACAAAATAATTAACTTTTATTCAAATCTAGACAGTAGTGTTCTGACGTTGTATAATCTAAAACATTTCTGTATCTCAGGAAGCGGAATACGGTGGACATGATCAGATAGATTTGTATGATGATGTCATCTCTCCATCTGCAAATAATGGAGATGCCCCAGAAGACCGAGATTACATGGACACTCTCCCACCAACTGTTGGTGATGATGTGGGTAAAGGAGCAGCACCAAATGTTGTCTATACATATACTGGAAAGAGAATTGCGTTATATATTGGCAATCTCACATGGGTAAGTAAAGTTACCATGTAAATTAAATTATTGGTAATTAATTCTAAACTGCTTCAGCAGTTAATGTTTTTTCCTAGTTTTAAAAAAATACAAATGTGAGATTATTTGATGTACTCTGCTGTATGATTATTTATGCATGTTATGTTAGTACCTTTCATTACAGTTCTTCAAATTTTGTAGTATCTCAATGTAGCAAGCCAGTTAGATGCAACTGTTACTTTATATTCAGATAACTTTTTCTTTTTATCTTACCCACTTCCCTAACTCACTTCCATTTACATATTTTAATTCACATTATAAGTATAGCATGAATATAATCTTGGTGGTGTAGAACATAAAATTGCACTGCTAAACTAAAAGATCGGTAGTTCAAATCTACCATCTACTCTGAGGGGGAAAGATGATGGGAGAGTTGTTGTGAGTTGTAATTGAATTGATAGCAATGGATTTGAGGGGTTAGGGGTTACAGACCTGTTAGTTTTTAATTTCTGCTCTTCTGAATTGTAGAAGCATACATTATAAGGATGCTCTGGTAGCTTAGTAATAAGGACTTGTGCTGTCAACCCAGAGGAGCACAATTCCAATCCACTAGCTATTCCACAGGAGAAAAATGGGTGTGTCATGCGATTGACAGCCTCTGAAAACCCATGGGAGGGTCAGCTGTGACTTGGTTCTCACCTGACAGTACATAGTAGCATAATGTATTTTAATTTGGGTTGTTCATGAGTTTGGAAATGAGATAATTGGTTGAGAACTGCATTAACTGCTTGTTCAGTGTATCTTTTTAAATAACATTTAATCTTTGTCTTGTTGAGGGTTGTCTTCTCTTTTGCTTATCCTCCACCTTCCCAAGAATGATATCTTTTTCTGAGCACTTACTCGTCCTTACAGAATGCCTAAAGTATATGAGATGCAGTTTCACCATCCTTGCCCTAAGGAGTACCCACCCTGGGCTCAGGTGCACCAGAGATCTAGAGCATGAAGAATATTCAGAAAGGTCACTATGAGTTGTAATTAACTAGATGACACTTAACAACATATAATCCATCTCTCTACTTAAAACATTTGTTTGATATTAGAGTTATGAAATTTCATGTCAAGAAGGCAAAGTTAAACTTGTCAGCTTTCCTCTTCCTTAAAAACCCACCTCAATTCCAACTCCTAGGAAATCTCTATTGGGTTTCCAAGGTTGTAAATCTTGCCCGTGTTTCTCCTGTGGAGCTCCTGGTGGATTCTTCAAACTACCCATTCTTAACATTTTATTTAAAATATTTTAAGTATTTGAAAAACTCATTGTGACCAATTATTTCTCTATTGCCCATTAGTCTGAGCATGTCTTTATACATACATGTGGAGATAACCATACATTAGAGAATATTAGTTTTGTGGACTTGGACAAGCTCTTTACCTTTAATATTGTACTTAAAGGATTCTTTTAAGAATTAAATAATATAAATATTTGATAAGTCACTCAATACCTGTCTTCCCATTCTTTTTTTTTTTTTTAAATTATTTTTGTGTGCGTGTACCGTCAAATCAGATCTGACTGGTACAGGAGGAGATTGCCCCTCCTTCCCCGGCAGAGCATCTGGTGGATTCGAACCATGCACCTCTGGGATTGTAGTTGCAGCTTCTTGCCACTAGGCCACCAGAGCTCCCCCATGTCTTCCCATTCTTGTAAAATAGAAGATGGAATTTATATCACAAAACATACTTGTTTAAAGAGAGAAAATGGCAAGTAAAATTGATTTATTAACAATTTAAGATCTTATCAGGTTAAAGTTGAGTCAAGAAACTTTAATGAAACATCTGTGAAGTTATCCCTCCTAATTTCTGAAACTCTTTGTCAGGGAATTAATTTGTATCCTTAGATATTTTTATACTATTTGGAAATTGGAGGCTGATTGGCATTTGAATTTTTATTTCAGTTGCACTTGAATTTTCACTGAGCACTGATTATTTTGTTTCATGATAACCCATACAAATTAAGTTGAAACAATTACATTGCAATAATTAATGAGATAAAATGTCTTGCAGTGGACAACGGATGAAGATTTAACTGAAGCAGTTCATTCTTTGGGAGTAAATGATATTTTGGAGATAAAATTTTTTGAAAACCGGGCAAATGGCCAATCAAAGGGGTAAGAACTTTGTTTTCATTCCTCCTGCCCAACTTTTTCATAATATGAGTCAGCAGATAAGGGTCCCTGCTGATGCATTGCTTAAAGTTTTCATTTCTTTACCAAAAGGTGGACTGATTAAAATCTGCCAGCCCCTCTAGGAGAAAGATTTGGCAATCTGCTTTTATAAAGATTTACAGTGTTAGAAACTCTCTGGGACAGTTCAACTCTGTACCATAAAGTTACTTTGAGTCAGAATTGACTTGACAGTAGTAGTTGAGAATTTTTTTGATGGTTTTACTTAGTTGTTTCTTTATCCTAACTTTGCTTAAAGGTTTTTGCTGATATATACATGTGTTGGGTCCCTGATAACCATCTTTGGAAAGGGGGTTGTTGGATAAAGAGTCATATTCTAATTTCATTTAGAAATTAGAGATTTAGAGATTCATTGAGATTACTGGCGTTGAAAGATGGGATCTACTCCAATTTTCTCCAATTGTGATTGAAATGATCATTTAAAAAAATTACTTCAGTCTTAAGAAGCAACACTATGCCTATTTTAGTAACTACTGATACTATTGACGTGAGCTCTGATGGTACAGTGGGTAGGAAGTTGTAATATTAACCCAAGAGTGGTGCCTCTCAGGCGTTTCAGATCTGCCAGGGGATCTGTGGGACAAAGATGGGCAATCTCCTATGCTATTTACAACTTTTGAAAAAGTACTGGGTCTGTTCTGACTTAACAGCAATGAGAAAATATTACTGGGTAAATACTAAGACCCTCAACAAGATGAATTGATACAGTGCTTGAAACAGTAGGCTTGTGCTTAGTGGAGAGATGGTGAATGAGGATGATGGAGCTGTAACAGGGCAAGTGTCAGTCTGTTGTTCATAAAGTTGCTGTGAGTTGTCGATTCAACAGCAAATAATGCTGTGATCAGGTGATGTGGGACTGTGGACAAATGGAGAGTAGTTTGAATAGTTGGCCCATTTTGCTTTTTTTAAACTATGTAAGTGAAATGGATTCATTTTGGGAACATTGTTGACTACAGATACCCAAAAATAGGAAAATAAAAATGATTCACAATCATATAGAAATGATCTTAAATCTTAAAGTAGATCTTAAGTGAATATATTTTCAGATTTTCCCCCCACATGCATTACTCATATTTTTCTTAGACACATTAAGCATATGAGGCTTACTAGGTACATAGTTGCACTGTCAACCCAAAGGCTCATGGTTCAAATCTACCACTTACTCAACAGGAAGAAGATGGCCAGTCTCCTCCCATATGATTTATATAGACTTTGAAAATCCACTAGACAGTCAGCTAACTATATGAGTCAATTCCAGCTCAAAGGCAGTTAGTAACTTTATGTGGAGATGTGGATAAATACAATATAATTTACTTTTTTATAACATGTTTGATGTAAGAAATAAAACCAGCATATCATTAAAAGCATGTACTATCTTTTCTTTCTAGCATAATCACGCTGCTATAACTTAAGCTCTGGGAGAGGGTTAAATCAGCCTGCTCCTTGGAGGCAAGAATTCTGAGGCTTCGTCTGACATACTTTGGTCATGTTGTAAGGAGAGACAGGTCCTTGGAGAGGGACATCATGCTTGGGAGGGTGGAGGGCAGGTGCAGGAGGGGAAGGCTCTCTGGGAGATGGATTGATTCGGTGACTGGGGCAATTGGGATGCGTGTGTCGGAGGCAATGAGATTGGTACAGGATAATGCAGGATTTAGGCCTGTTGTACATAGGGTCCATATGAGTCGCAAGCGACTCGATGGCACATAACAACAATAACAGCTTAGCGGTAAGGAAGTGCACTCTCAACCCAAAGGCATGTAGTTCGAATTCACCAGCCGCCCTTAAGAGAATGATGAGTAGTCTCCTGCCACATGATTTACTCCTTTTATAAACTTGCTGGAGGGTCAGCTGTGAGTCGGTCCTCACTCAACAATACATAACAACATAATTTATTTTACCATTCTTATTACTCACTTAGAGTTTGTTTGGAGATCTCCGCCCCCCAAATATAAGTAAAATAATGCAGTAGGTATGATTTTATATAAATCTCTAGGTACAGATTTTGATATTTTTTTTTAAGAAAAATTTCTAACTACAAAATGTTGAACTTCTTTGCTTACTTCGTAATGCTCAATTTTCCAAAATGATTGCACCCAACTAAAAATGTTCTTACACTAATCTAACAATATTTTCAAGTATGTACAGAATCTGACCACTGCTCACCACCTTCACTTCTGCCCTCTGTTCTAAACCATTATCAGCTCTCATGTGAACTTTTAAAAAAATAATTTTAATGAACATTTACAGAGAATTTCATGGATTTCCATTCATTCATTGCTGCACCTCTCTACCCGCCCAACCCTCTCCCCTCCACCCCCCCAGTTCGCTCCTCTCTTTCAAAAGTAAGACTCCCTCCCTGGTACACAATCCCCCTGCACTCTTCCCACCACCCCAAGTACATTCCACTATGCAACCTTAATTGTGGACTCTTGTTATAACCATAATACCTTGTCATACATCACTTTTAAATTATTCAGTCCCTCATCTGTTTCAGTGCAGTATACACAATTTATCCAGTTTTTCTCAGTCTTACCCCCACCTTGATATCAGTCCCATTTTACAGCAGTGGCACCATGCAATATTTGTCCTTTTGTGACTGAGATATTTCACTCAGCATAATGTCCTCCAGGCTCACGCATTTTGAATAATATTGAATGAGTTCCTTTTTTTTTAATGCAGCATAGTATTCCATAGTGTGACTATACCACAGCTTCTCTATCCATTCGTTTGTTGATGGTCATGTGAACTTTTACAGTAGCCTACTGTTTTCGTTCTTAGGGCTTAGAATAGTCAACATAGTAGCAGGGGTTTTTTTTGTTGTGTTTTTTTTTTTAAGTGACAGCTACTGGCCAGGTCAGAATCTTTCAGTAGCTCACAAGGTACTGGATGATCTGTTTCCCCACCACCTCTTTGACCTTATTTCCTGCTTATCTTTTCCTATACTGCTTAACTTTCTTGATGTTCCTTTAATACATTCCTGTTTAGGAAGTCACTGTTTGTTCTTGGTTTACTTCCAGTTTAAATGATCACGTGGCTCGCTCCTTCATTAAAATTTTGTTTACAGTTTTTCTTCCCTGGCATCTTATATGTACAAGAGGACCTTCTAGTCTTCCCTTTCTCTTTTTCATGTACTAAGTTTTAATTATTTCAAAATTTATTATTTTGTAAGAAAAGGAGCACGTTTTTTGATGCCCTGAGAGAATCACATTATTAAAGGCTGGTTTCTATTTTAACTTGTTATTTGAGTGACACTATGCATTGATAATAATGGGCGACTGGAACGCAAAAGTTGGGAACAGGGAAGAAGAATCAGTAGTTGGAAAACATGGACTTGGGGACAGAAATGAAGCTGGAGACAGAATGAT